TGCAGAGGCTCCACAGGAAGCCTCCTTCACTGGGCACGTTATAGCCCCATTTTAGGTATTCCAATCAGTTATAGGCAGAAGACGGACTTACAAACTTTCTATGGTGATGTTGCTGGCTATTCCTTTCTCTCTCCACCTCCAGTGTCTATTTCATAATACAATGCAAGGAAAGCCAAGATTCAAAAGACAACAAAGCATCTTAACATTATTCCCCCCTTTTCCCCATTCCAACCATGTCTCAATCTCTGTATCCCAGAGTCCTGTTGTTCCAAGGTTGTGCATACATCATTATTTACCTCTGTCCCACTTAGCTCATGCAAACCTGCCTAATTGTTCTCCCATCTGCTTTGTTCTTTCATTGGAGGCTATAAATTGTTACAGGAGCAGAGAGCCTCATCTTTATCCTGTGGAACAGCTGGTAGTTTCGAACTGCTGACCCTGAGATTAGCAGCCCAATTCGCTACCACTATGCTACCAGAGCTCCTTTAAATAATCTGTAGTAGCCCTGTTTTTCTACATTGCTTCCCTGACCTGTTTCAGTTCTACACTTAGAGCAATGATTGGGAGGTGGCATTAAGGGTCTTTACTATTATACAGGCAAATTTGTTGATTTCTACATTTAGAGTCACAACTACAGCAGGCATTTAAAAAATGGGGGGGGATAAGGTCACATGTTCAGATGGGCTGAGCAGATGTAGATCAATGTGGAAGTCAAATGGGGGAGCACAAGCTCCCAGGGGACTTGGCCATGAGGTCTATCAGTCAGGTCCTGTCTCTGGGGTAGAGAGGTGATGAGTCTTCCAAAAGTACAGCCCCTCTCCCTCCTTCTCCTAGAAGAGTTAGCAGGAATGTAGGAGAAGGCCTTAATTCCACAGAGGAGGAACCACCAGCTGGTAACTTTGCTGTGGGTGCATTGGACTGGCAGGACCTGACTCTCACAATAATTCAGAGCCAAATTGGTTACATTCACACATTTAGGGGACCTGCACTTGAAGGGGTAGATAGCCCAGCTTGTTATGTGGGAAATCTCTGTCTTTCAAGCCACCATTAAAATAGGTCCAACAATGGGTGCTGGGTGTTATTACTGTTCTTAGGGTGATGGCGAACATTTCTTGGTACTTCTCAGTAATGTCCTGGACTCATCTCCAGAGATCATTGTAGGTGTAGTCCACTTTCATTATCTTTCTGTATGTAGGACACACCGTGCTGGAGCTGAGTTATAGAAGTACTAACCCAAATAAAGGAGCTCTGGTAGCGTAGTGGTTATGAATCAGGCTGTGAACCACAAGGTCAGCAGTTCAAAACTACCAGCTGTTCCATGGGAGAAAGATGAGGCTTTCTGCTCCCGTAAAGATTTAC